AMWKTAGGAGCACAGTATGGTTGATATTTTGRTAGTATTTATAGGAGGTATGACAATGAAAGATATCTTAATGATGGAAGGGTTAAATGATTATGTTAGTTTGATCTGTACCCACCATGCATTTCACTTGTAGATACCAACAAATCATGTGTTCTTGAATTTGCAATACCAAGAGAGCTGTAGATTGARCAGTAAATGGCAATATTTGAATATGAGTTGACATGTATTTTGGAAAAGAAAATATCCACTTACATTTCGTCAGAATCAGMTTTTCAAAATATCAAAGATGCTTGTCATCAAGCAGGTTAAAATTATACTTCTATTAAGTTGCATTATTTCTGTGGCTGAGACACAATATACAAAAAGCTGTTCAAAAGTGCAATATTCCTCCTCAAATCCCTTTTTCTCTGGTAGTAATCTGACAAGAAATCCATAATTTTTCTGTAGAAATGGTCTAAATCTTTCAACGTCATTTGAAATACTTATATGTTGTAGTATTTTAAGGAATACAGGAAAATAAGATCTCAATACTTCTGTGCAATGTACATGCATATGTACGCATATCAAACTTCTACACAACTTTTTCTAATGTTTTTTTCAGGGGAAATTTTTAAGCTTTCTGAAATAAAAACCTAAAATCATATAAATTTCTGAAATAAACAATTTAAAAAAAATATTGTGAAGTGAAAAAAGTTGATGAAGTAATTAAAAAGTATATATTTATTTATCTATTTTATTTACAATCTTATGGAGAGAGGTTTGCTGCCATCTTGAAAAGCAAAACTGATATGATGCAATGATGGACAACGYAATTACCTAATCCACTGTCAACAATGCATTYRCATCCAGTCCAAAGACMAAAAAAAAAAAAACATTGGGCCACAGAGTTACAATTACAATTCAGTACATGTACAATAAGGAACAATCAAACAATCAAACAGCTCTAAAGAATCGTCAATTGATAGTCTGATGTTATAACGAAAAGAAATGCCAGGCACCAGAAAATTATTTGGATTTCATATTATTATTTCTTACAAACAATATCAACAACTGTAAGGGAAAACAACATTAACTACTCATTATGACTACAAAGATTTCATATTATTATTTCTTACAAACAATATCAACAACTGTAAGGGAAAACAACATTAACTACTCATTATGACTACAAAAATCATCTTGGGCACTGGAATATTTCATTGGGACTTCATATTTTTTGTTAGATACTATTATATTATCATTAACTGTAAGGGACAACTACAGCAAATGATTAGTCATTATAACAACAAAATTACCTCATGTTGATCTACTTGATGTCAAAAGTCTTTGTAAACTGACAGGAGCGTCTCAAGTGYAAAGACAATGTGGWCATATGAAGTTATACATCRAGTCYATAAATCAAAACAGAAATTTAAAAGAATGTCAAATGCTAAAGAAGTGGTCGATTTACAAAAAAATATAATAACTTTGATCTACAGTCACCTACTGTACATGTACTGAAAAGAGGCACTGAAATATTTGGACTTGCTACTCAGATAAAAAGATAAAACCATAGACGAGAAAAGGCTTCATTAATTAGCAGCATATACAGATACATGTATGTACATGAAAACTTGGATGCTGTCAAGACAAGGAGTTGAATATWTGGAGTTCATACACAACATATTAAAAGATACATTAGTT